GCTTCTTGATTACCTCCACTGATGGTATAATCACTACCTTACAGCCAGTTTCTTCCATGAGAAAATTCTCTTTCATGCATATTAGTGGGAAAAGCATGAACCCAACAGATTTGGGTTCAAGTCCAAATTTTGTCACTTACTACATGTTGACCTTGGGCGAGTCACTTTACTGATCTATAAAATGCGGATAATGACACCAGCCCCTGTGGGAAAGACAAAAGAAGATGGGCCAGAGGAACTGAGGGCTAGCTCGAGACTGGCCCCTGGCAGTCATCAGAGTGATGGTCTGCAATGCATGGACCGGCTAGCATGAGCCAGAAGAAGCTACAGCCACGATGTCATTTGGTGCTCGCTCCCCGTCCCCTGTGGGGTATCTAGTAGTGAGAATGCCATTTCTCCAATGCAATGGAGAGAACCAAGGCTCAGAAAGCGACTTCCCCAAGTCACATGGACAGTAGGTGGCAAAGGCTAGACTTGACACAGGGCAGTGTTTCTAAAACACAAATCAGCCCCTATCGTTCTGCCGAAATCCTTCAACAAATCGCTGCAGCTGACTCCAGCCGAAAGCTGAGACCCTAGCAAGGCATCCGAGGCCCTCCTTCATCTATGCTGCCCAACGACCTCGCCATTGTCTGTGCCAGCCTCTGCCTCCTCCCACCTCCTGCCTCACCCTACACCTGCTCACCGCGCTTCCCCGCATGCTCCAAACGCAAGCACATGCTCACAGCGCATGGCCTTTGCACCTGCTGGTCCTTCTGCTTTGGTGCCCTTCCTCGCTGCTCTCGTCCTACTCGTCCTTCAGATCCACTTCCCACGCCTCCTCCCCGAGAAGCCCTCTGCAGCCCCGGCAGACATGGCCAACCCTCCCTCCTTTGCGCTCCCACAGGCAGGGCCCTCTGGTTCTCCCACTGCATCCCCCACTATAAGCCCAGCACGTGTGCCAGTGCCTGGCACAAACTGAGAGCCTAGGGATGTGTTGAGTGAACAAATGAATGGGAGAGTGAATGAACGAGTGCATGCCATCTTATAGCACTGAGCACACTGAATTGCAATTACCATCTAAATGTCTGTTGGCCTCGTGGCATGGTGAGTTCGTGAAGAGAGGGACTGTGTCTTACGCACCCTTGCTTCCTTCGAGCCTGGCACAAAGCCTGGCACATGGTGAGTGTTCACCAAGCACCTCCCCATAGAACGTGTGGAAGATTGAACGTTCATTTCCCCTACTAAACCGTCCACCCCGAGGGCGGGAGCCACGTGCCAGCCATCTGCTTCCCCACGTGCACACACACACAGAGAATTGATTATCAGGAGTCTGTACTTACGAGTGACCTACAGTCACATCCCCTAGGGTGTCAATGCTGGACAGGCAGCCGGGATTCAGAGGGTCACGCACCAGACCCAGGAGCCCTCACATCCAGAGTGCGGCCATTGCGGAGTGCCTTCTCCCCTGGACGTGGTCTGGGAGGTTTCCTACCACTAGATGGCGCCAACAGCAAGGCTAGCTCAGTGCACCAAAGCCCATCCCTCCACTGCCCCATGGGTCCCATAACCGCTTCCCTCGTCCAAGGGGGGCCTTCTCCGAGCTTCCCTTGAGGGAGCTGCGTACCCTGGGCTCCTGGCAGGTACTTGGAAAGGAGGCTTCCTTCTGGGGATCTTTAACTCGGGATGGAGCCTGCAGGGTGAACAGTGACCATGTGGAGAGGGATACCCGCCAGGTTACAGCCCATCCAGCTCAGCTCAAGGTGTCCAGACGCCCGAGCCCTGTGCTGGGCCCTATGGGGGCGGAGGAGGATGCACAACCGAAGAAGTGCAGGGGGAAGTCGGGCTTTGGAGTGTCTGCCACGCACCATCTGCGCCAGTACTTCCACGTACATGATGCCCTCCTCCCCCCAACAGCTCCCGGAGGCGGCATTATTGTGGCCATATCACAGACGGGGATGTTGAGGCTCAGAAAGGTTAGGAAGCTTGTCCAAGGCCACACAGAGAGAACCCACTTCTGACCGTCTCAGGCCCCACGTTTTCTTTTTTTTTTTTTTTTTTTTTTTTGTAAGGAGGACTAGCCCTGTGCTAACATCCAATGCCAATCCTCCTTTTTTTTTTTTTTGCTGATGAAGATTGGCCCTGGGCTAACATCCATGCCCATCTTCCTCTACTTTATATGGGATGCCGCCACAGCATGGCTTGACAAGCAGTGCGTGGGTGCACGCCCAGGATCCAAACCTGCAAACCCCGGGCCACCGCAGCAGAGCACGTGCACTTAACCGCTGCGCCACCAGGCCGGGCCCCCACATTGTTTTCTTGGCACTCAAACTTAATCAGAGCTGAGAAGAGGGGTTCCAGGACAGGACGTCTTGAATATGAAGTGATGCCAAACCCCTTGTGGTCAACGGTCCCCCATCCATCCATCTCCTGGTCAATACTTACGAAGCCCTGCTGGGTGCCATGTGCCCTCCTGCAGGCACACAGGGAGAAGCAAGGCACAGACCCTGTATTTCACAAGTTCACGTTCTAGTGGGGGAAGCAGCACCTCTAACACGGCCAGGGAAAAGCATGGAAGGCTACCTGGAGGAGAGGGCTTTTTTATTTCCTCTTCCAAGAGTATGTTCTGAAGGTCTGGGGACTGGTGACAGATGGTCCATGAGTGCTCATGAAGCTCCAGGCCTTCCACTGTCACAGACTAACAAGAAAGAGTCTCTCCATGAAGTCAGGAAGGGGGGTGGTGTGTTTGGATGATTTTATTGATTTGGGGGCTTGGGGTTCTGTTGTGCCATGTTGTGTTTTGGAGGAAAAGCAAACAAGGGCAGGCAACTAATCCTCACAGGTGAAGGCAGACCAGCCCCGCGGTCCCCATCCACAAACCTGCCTGAACCCAAGCTGAAGGTGACAAACCTCAAGCCCAGATTTGCCATTTTGCCTTTCAAGGCCCTTTATTTGTGGAATCAATATTTACTGCACTTCTTGTGTGCTGAGCCCAGAGCCAAGAGTCCAGCTAATCCAGCACCTCAACCTGGACCGTCTCTCCTGGTCCCTGGTCCTCACAGCCATGTGGGCAAGAGTGAACTTCACTCATCACAGCAAAGCACTTCCCTCCCTGGTGTTCAAAGAGATCCCAGGGCTCCCCTGGGATGCCCAGCTCTCTGCACACAGCCTCGCGTTGTCATAAATCACCTCCAATGTCTGTCTCTCCCATACGCTGTGGGGCCCCCAAGCACAGAGAATTTTTAAATTCCTTTTCAAGTGCCTAAAACTTAAGAGAGACTATGAGCTAGCTCAGCAAATGTTTGTCAAGTGACTGAAAGAGCACAGAGGATGTAAAGGTAAAGCGTATAGAAATGAGAGTTCAGAGAGTCGTTTGTGGCCAGGCCCTGATGTGGACTGTGTCATCCTGGATGTGCCTGGATTCCGCCTCTTTGGGTCTCAGTTTCCTCCTTGGGAAAAGGGAGGATGAATCTGTTTGAATATGTCAGCATCTCTTGTTCAAAGAAGGAAATGTGGATCCATAAATTCCATAGAGCAGAGCTTCACTGGTTCGAGATGGAGGGGGCGGCCTGGGGCCCAACCAGCCCCACCTTTGCCCCCACAGAAGCCCTGGCCCACCTCCACTAGAATTCCATGGCAGAATTCCAGAGTCGCTGTGAGAAGCTCTGGACACTATGCTCCCAGGGGGGACCACTCCAGCCTGGGGGAGGGCGAACGGCTGGAAGCTGGCTGTAGCCCACACTCTGTCCTCAGGCAATTCTCTTCCTCCCAGGCCCAGGTCTCCTCTGCACTAAAGAGTGAGGGGCCACGGGGCCATCCCAGTGGCATAGTGGTTAAGTTTGCTTGCTCCGCTTTGGCAGCTCAGGGATTGCAGGTTCGGATCCCGGGCGTGGACCGACACACTGCTTGTCAAGCCATGCTGTGGCGGCGTCCCATATAAAGTAGAGGAAGATGGGCACGAATGTTAGCCCAGGGCCAATCTTCCTCAGCAAAAAGAGGAGGACTGGCAATGGATGTTAGCTCAGGGCTAATCTTCCTTGCGACAAAAAAAAAAAAAAAAAAAAGAGTGAGGGGCCAGGATGGTGGTTCAGGGAGGCCACCAGAGAGGGTAGGAAAGTGACCAGATCCCCGAGATGCAGGCAGCTGGAAGCTCCTATACTCACAGACAACCCAGATCCTCCCGTTCTATTTGCTGGCTCTGTTCTCCAGCACAGGGCTGGCTTGTTGGGCCTTATTTCCCCTTCCCAGCTGGCTTGTTGTCGTGTCCATCACATTTGCCAGGATGAAGATGATCCTGTTAGTGGGGGATGGGAATGGGGCCATGGGGAGGAGTACGAGTGGGGGGAGTGGAGCGGGGTCCTCTGCAGGGCTTGTGCTGGCAACTCCCCTCCCCACAGGGCAGGGAGACCAGCTGCAAGGAGCTATGAAGCTGTACCCCCGCTGCCACCCACTGCAGCCCTGTCCTGGCGCTCAGAGGGGCAAATAATAATGATGGTAATAATAGTAATAGCAGGTGTGCTGGCCAAAACCCAGTGTTGACGAGTCAGCGGGCCCTGTGAGCTCTTGAGGACCCTCAGGGGAGTAAGGAGGGCGGATCTTCAGGAAGCAGAGAAGAAAGCAGGGGGACACGGCCGCACCTCACGCCGTGACTCATCAGAGGGCGTCTACTCCTCAAAGCCTCCCTCCCTCCTCTGTAACACCAGGCCGACTCATCCACAGGCTTGTGGGACGCTCAAGTGGGAGAAGGAACACCCCTGAGGCTTAGCAGGCCAGAGTTCTGATGCAGAATCTAGCAGCAGGCAGATTCAGGCCATGGGCTTAACTTCTCTGAACTCCGGGCTTCCTGGTCCTATTTGTTTTATTGAGGAGAAGGAGATGTCTGGCTATCGAAGGCATGGTAGAAAAACATAATTTTATGTAAACCTTTCAAACCCCATGAAGATGGGAAGGTGATTGCAGGCCCTTTGGGCTGTGACACCCCCGCCCGGCAGCCCCCCTTTATCTCTGCCCTTCCCCTACAGGCCCTCTCTCCAGCCCCCCCGGCCATGGCCTTCACCCCGGAGCCGCTGGAGGACACTTATTCACGCCCCCAATTCTGCAAGTGGCCATGTGAGTGCCCGCCAAACCCACCCCGCTGCCCGCTGGGGGTGAGCCTCATCACAGACGGCTGTGAGTGCTGTAAGATGTGTGCTCAGCAGCTTGGGGACAACTGCACGGAGGCTGCCATCTGTGACCCCCACCGGGGCCTCTACTGCGACTACAGTGGGGACCGCCCGAGGTACGCAATAGGAGTGTGTGCACGTAAGTGACACCCCCCACACCCCCGGCTCTGTCTCAGGACCCCTTATCCATAGCCCTTTCCCTGGCCAGGCTCCTGTTCTGCAGGAGGTACCCCCCACCCCCTCCAGCCCATGATTAGAAGCCAGAGCTCAGGAAGGAGGGAGGGATGTCTGCATTCTTCTTGCCTCCAGAACCTGGCCTCCTGCTCTCTTCTCAGTCCTGGAGGCACGTCCGTGGCTGACTCCAGGGAGCAGGGAGCCACCAGGAAAGACCCGACTCTGGTTTCATTCTTAGTGGTAGGACCCTTTGCTGATATCCATTTCTCCGGGGGGCACCAAGACCCTGCAGAACTCCAGATATTTCAGTAATGTTCTAAATTAAAATAACACAGTCTAAAAAATTCAGTAGCCTTGAAAGACTAAAACTCAGCAGGTTGCAACCATTCGTTCCTACCACCCACCCACGTTCCTCAAGTTACTATAGTCACTTTCAACTTTTTAGCCCTTTCTTCTGTTACCACTATGCAACACATGTCTTCTGTTTCATCTTGATTGGCTTAAAATGTCAATTGTGGATAATCTATTAACGATCCTATATGATAGCTGCTGACTTAGCTCCTCAATACCACGTGACACCTCCCCCATCTTTCAACGTCACTGTCCTATTTTTAGTTATACAACAACCACTATTTACAATATTATGATGACGTAAATATTGTTCACTGCAGCATAAGATAGTGTACTTGTCTGAATTTCCTTTCTTACGAAGCCTTTTGTTTTTCCTGGGGTTTCTATCTGCCTTTGCTTTTCCTTTACTCTTGGACTTTATAATAGCCTCATATGGCAGGGAAGGGCTATTGCTGTTTGTTGTTTGTTTGCTCTTCAAGCGCGCCATCATGTTCTTTTTTGTTCCCAGAGACCTCCTTTCTGGGACTTTCTGGTCTTTTACTTCTATCTGGATGGGTATTCACTTAGCTAGAATCATCTAAGCATTTATCCAAGATACATGACCCAGCATGATGAAGAGAGGTAACTAGGCATCATGACGCAGCAGCCTAACTTCTGAAAAGTTACACAAAGCCTCATAAACTCAAGAACACCTTTCTTCCCTTAGTGCTGAATCAAGGTTTCCCCATAACTATGACTCCATATACACCCCATTACATATTCACACATAGCACAATGTCTCATCCTCAGCTAACCCATTATATTTCCTGACGTGGGTTGTTGGTGAGAGTTATGCACATAATATCAAGTCAGACAATCCTATCTGAGCCTCATGGTTAATTTATGAGAACTTTCTGCTCTTTTATCATTGATTTATATTTCAACTTTCATACCAAGTCATCTCTCTTTAGCGTTCCAAGTAATTAGGTTGGTTTTCCCATCCTTCCACTATTTTCCCTTTTACTCAGACTCATTATTAGCCCCACAAAAGTGCGTTCAAAGAGAATTTGCCCCACGACCTGAATAGAATCATCTGACATGTTGTTTAAAAATGTTCTTCCTGAGCCCCACCTCAGACTTATGGATTCTAATTCTCTGGAAGTAGGGATGGGAAGCTACACCTTAAGCAAATTTCCCAGGTGATTCTCATGCATGCATAAGGTTAAGACTGACTGTTAATGTATACACACAGTCATACGTTCTCGCCTCATACCCAGGTGAGGAAACCTCGCTGAGCCTTCCTGCACTAGAATCACCTCCAGCTATATGAGACTGTCTCATCATTTCTCTTCTCTTTTATAGTTGTTCTTAAGGTCGTTAAAAAGGTAATTCAGTTCACTGTGATTACACTAACTTCTCAGGCTGTACTGACATCTTAGCATGCACCAGGCACCACACCTTTATAGACATTCTCTCATGGACCCCGAGATTGTGCAGGCCTGGGAATGGCCTCTCCTGCCTGCCTTTCCCACCAGGGGCCTGAACATCACCTTCTAATCCACCCCACCCCCCATCTCTTTGTATCTCAGGTCCTGCCACCACTCACCACAGCTTCTTACTTCTCCCTCATCATGAGTCTCTGTGTATTTCCTTTCCTTTTATTTGGAAAGAAAACTGTGGTCTGCAGAAAATTTTAATAAGTGTCACACTTGCCAATAGTTCCCTGGTCATCTAGGTTTTCAGATACTGGAATAGAGCAAAACAAATGTTACAGAACTTCTCAGAGATTTTAAATGTTCGTGGCCATTGTCAAATTCCAAAATGAGAGCTATCATATGAAGACTATTCCTTTTTTTCTTTTTCTTTTGGTGAAGAAGGTTGGCTCTGGGCTAACATCTGTTGCCAATCCTCCTCTTTTTGTTTGAGGAAGATTGGCCCTGGGCTAACATCTGTGCCCATCTTCCTGTACTCTGTATGTTGGACGCCACCACAGCATGGCTTGATGAGCAGTGTGGAGGGCTACACCCAGAATCCGAACCCAGGAAACTCACACCACTGAAGTGGAGCACGCGGACTTCACTACACCACCGGGCCGGTCCCAAGAAGACTTTTCTTTTCAAACTTATTTGCCCAGTGAACTCCTTGTTCAGGTAGATTTTTACCCACCCACTCACCCCACCACACATACACTTGCACACACTCACATACACCACATGCATACATGGACACACATGTACACACACACAATTCACTAATGTTCTATTGAACATCTTCCTAGAAACGCTGCCATAGTGTCTGAGTTCATAAGACCCTAATGCAAGAAGGAAGAGAGTCCAGGGTCCGCAGGCCATAGAGAGCAAGGCACCTGAGGACCAGAAGGGAAAGAGATAGAAGAGTTCCTCTAAGTAGACGATCTTTCAGCAGATGGTCAGCTCAACCAGTGGACGATCCCCAGGACAGGCTGAATCTGTCCTTGGAAATGTGCATGTAACCAGGCCGGGACAAGGTAATAAAAATGAGCAATTGCACCACTGACTCAGATGACTCAGAAGATGGTGGGGACTCTGGCAAACTGGTGAACACAAGCTTTGGCTATCAGAGGTCACCCCTACTGGGCCCCCGCCCCTTTGGCCAGGCAGAAAAGTGAACTTGGTCTTGTTCAGTCTGCTCTGTTTTCAAGAGAATCCAGAAATCCAGATTTGGGTAGGATTTGTAAATGTTGGCAACCCGTTCAAAAATTTTTTTAAAAACACTCCGTGGGCCAAACTAAATACATCTGTGGGCAGAGAGTGACCTCTGAATTAGACTGTTTGGCTATTTCAGTTGTACAAACACTACTCTGCATTTGATGCAGCTGGGTGGGGCCTGAGGGCAGTGTGGTTTGCTGGAAGGATCATGAAATATACAGGCAGACAGACTGGGGTTTTGAATCCTGGCTCTGCCACTTGCTGGCTACGTGACCTTGGGCACGTCACTTAAGGAACTTGATCAAACCAATCTCACATGGTTGTTGAGAATAAACAAAGGGACGCATTAGAGCCTCAAATTTGACCGGCTGCTCGGGGTCATTGTATTATTTGCTTTGTTGTAACTTTCCCTTGTAGACGTCATCTTAGCCCTGTCCATGGTCATCCTCAGAGCTGGGAGCACGTCTGGTTCCAGGCTCAGACTCCCCAGTATGAACTCTCACACGTGGTCTCTGGAGCTAGACAACCTAAGTCTGAATCCCAGTGCCATAACTAACCAGCATGATGACTTTAGGCAAGCTACTTAACCTTTTAAGTATCAGTTTCCTCATCAAGGAAAATGCAACAAATAATGCCTACCTCTTTGTGTGGTTGGGATGTCGAGTGCCTGATACATCGTAGGAGCTCAATAAAAATTAGGGCTCACCCCACCTCACATCCATCCATCCATCCATCCATCCATCCATCCATCTATCCATCCATTCACACAGTGAACATAGGTGAGTGATAATACAACAAGATTAGATAGGAGATGGTGAAGGAAATTCAGTCACCTTCACCATCTCGTTAGGAACTGGTCCTTCAACTGGCTAGAAGGAAAGTGAATGAGGAGGGGGCACTAGAGTCCACTGATGGGCCCATCCATAGCCATTACACACATCACACCTCCCCTGCCCACCCACTCCCCAATCAAAGCTCCCAGGAGACCGCAAGCAACTTCCAGATGCAGTGGTTTTCAATCTTGGCTACAAATTGGATTCACCCGGGGAGCTTTTAAAACTGCCAAGGCCAAAAATGTAAAAACACAGAGGCCCGGGTCCACCCCCATATTCCTGGATATGGTGTGGGCATCAGAATTTTAAAAGCCCCCCAGGGCACGCGGTCGTGCAGCTGGTGGTGAGAACCACAGTGCTAAGGCTGCCAAGCACCCAGCCCTGCCGTCTCCATCCAAAGTTCCCACACCCAGAGGCAGAGACTGGGACTTCGCACTCTCCCTTCTCCCCCTCCACCAACGCGCACGCACACACGCACGCACAGCTTCCTGGAGCAAGAGGGTGGGTGCAGAAGGGTGACTCAGAACCAGAGATGAGTGATTCACCCAACGCTTCCTCTGCTTTGTTTTGTTCTGTTTTCCTATTTCCCCTCCTTTACTGGTGTCTGGTGGAAGGAAATGGGCTGGGGGGCAGATCCCCTGGGTTTGAGGGGCAGCTCGATGTTCATCAGCTGGGTGACCTTGAGCTCATGAATCACTTGACCTTTCTGAGCTTTCCTGTCTGCCAAATGAGGAAAATAAAGCTCTCCTTGTGAAGTCACTGGGAGAACCGAACGAGATAACATATCAGACGGGGCCTGGCACGAGATCAGATGGGCAGTAAGTGTTAGCGCCTTTCCTTTCTGGGCCTCTTCCCACACTCACCTCCCAGGAAAAACAGCAGTCACGTCAACATTCCTACAGGCCGAGGTGCTGCTTCCTTCCCACCGCTCCATCTCAGTACTGCTGTATGTGAAAACAAAGGTGGTAACGTGGCAGCGTTTCCTCACAGATTAAAATCAGCAATGCAAGAAAGCCTGACACAGAATAGGTCAGGGGACCAGGGACAGAGCTCTCAGGAAACCTTCGCTTCTGTTAGATACTAGGATTGCTATTATTATTAGTAACCACCTCCAGGCAAATCCAGGAGTTAAGCGAGAATATTGGCACACTGCAGATTCCTAACTATAGCCTCCTCGGGTGGGCACCCTTGCAGCCCGGGCTCTCTGCCCGCACATCCAGACACTGTCCTCAAGGCAGGACAGGACGCCAAGGGTGGTAGCCAAGCCGACAGCCCCAGATCTCTCCTGGAACTCCAGGCTTGCATAAGCGACTCCACGTGGCCAGTGGGATGTCAACCAGGCATCTCAGGTCTAATGAAGAACGCTTGAGTCCACTGACCCCAAAACCCGCTCCTCCAAGGACAAAGTACCTCTTTCCTTCCAGAACTCAGGTCACAGAACTAGGAGCCATTCCCAACTCCTCTCCTCTCCTCCTCACATCCCATCCATCAGCAAGTCCCTGCAGCTCTTCCTTCCAAATATACACAGAAGCTGAGCTCTTCTCCTGGCTCTCAGTCCCTCCCTGGTCCAACCACCACCACCTCCCTCCTGGATTACCCCGGGGGGGGGGGGCGGGGGGTTCTCCTGGCGCTGCCCTCACTGCCTTCCGTCTATTCTCAACTCAGCACCACGAGGGTTCTCGTGAAGCATAATTCATATCATTAATTCGACAGTTCCTTACTGAGCACCGACTGTGCGCCAGGCACAGCTCTAGGCTCTAGCGGCTTTGCATCTTCCTCTGAGCCTACAAGGAAGCCCTCTCTCACCTCATCTCCTGCCCCCTGCCCTGCCCTCTCCCACATCCTGGGCCTGCTCCCACCTGAGGTCTTTACACCTCAGGGAGGGAAATCCCTCCCTGCCTGGAAGCCTCCTCCTGGACACCTGGGCGGCTCCCTGCCTCACTTCCTTCCCATCTTTGCTGAAGCATCGTCCCACTCATCCAGGCCTTGTCTGCCCACCAGATTTAAATGTGAACCTGTCCCCCACCCCACCTAACTCCCCCTCCTGTGTCATTTTTCTCCCTGGCCCGGGTCCCCATCAACATTCCAGTCGCTCTATATTTGTCTTCCCTCTGTCACCCCCAGGACAGTGTAAGCTCTATGAGGGCCTGGCTCTTGTCTGTTTTGTTCACCACTGAATCTCCAGCGCCTAGAACACCCCACAAATATGCCTGAATGAGTGGAAGCTGCGTTTCAGTGTTCCCACTGGTTTTACAAACCGGGACTCTAGAGGCAGATATCTGTCACTAAGAGGCTTTGTGTCACGTGCTAGGGATGGGACAAGATGCTAGCTGCCTGGGTCCCCATCCTGGACTCGCTGTATCCCCTCACCCTGGGAAGGGGTGTTCCCGAGTGGGTGGCAGCTGAGGCCATCCTTCTCAAGTCCTGTCCTGCTCCCCATGGCTGGCTGGGTCGCGCCCTTTCACCCAGCCCAGCCCCAGCCGCGAGGTGGGAGCGATTCCCCGGGGTCTGGGCGCGGTCCAGACTTGGGAGGCCCCCCGGGCGGGGGTCCCGTGCCCGCCGGGCTTGACCGGCCGCCTGTGTTCGCAGAGGTGGTCGGCGTGGGCTGCGTCCTGGACGGGGTGCGCTACAACAATGGCCAGTCCTTCCAGCCCAACTGCAAGTACAACTGCACGTGCGTGGACGGCGCGGTGGGCTGCACGCCGCTGTGCCTCCGCGCGCGCCCCCCGCGTCTCTGGTGCGGCCGCGCCCGGCGGGTGAGCGTGCCCGGCCGCTGCTGCGACCAGTGGGTGTGCGACGACGACGCCAGGAGGCCGCGCAAGACGGCGCCGCGCCACACGGGCGCCTTCGGTGGGTGCGGGGCGCGGGGCGCGCGGGTGCGGGGTGGGGCGGAGGGCGGGGCCCTGGGGGCGCTAGCAGACCCTCCTGGAGCTCTGACTGCCTATGATTGACACAAGCCCCTGAGTCCCCTGCCCCAGTCCACCATGCACCAGCTCTGTGACCCTGGGAAAGTCACATTTCCTCTGGACCCTATTTCCCCATCGTTAAAATGGAAATACTACCATCCGTCCCGCCTGTCTTAGAGGATCCTGGGAGCATAAAATGAGGAAGTGCTTTGTGAAGAACACAGCCAGACACATAATTATTACCCTATTTAAGAGATTAGCTGGGGGTGTGGAGGTGGAGGAAGGGTGGATGTGTGGCCCAGGAGGAGAGGCATGAGCGGCAGGGGGAAGGGCGGGAGAGGAGTAGACGGCTTCCCCGGCACTGTGGAGGATGGGTGGACAGGTGAGGCTTCAGCCAGGCAAGCCAGGCCAGAGGAAGCCCTGGAAAGGAGGACGGGGAGAGGTCTGTTTGTTACACCTCTGCTTACTGGGGCCTAGCCCAGTGCCAACTTAGCAGGTACCAAATCAGTGTTTCTCATATGGATGGATGGACGGAGGGACAGATGGAGGAATAGACAGGTGGGTGGATGGATGGGCTAATGAGGATAATGGGCTAATGAACTAGGGCGGTGGGAATAGAGGTGGCAGAGAAGGGACAGATGCAAGAGGCATTGCTCGAGGAAACTGAGGGTCTCAGAGTCAATCCAGTGCGTCGAGTGAGGGAGAGGGAGGAGTGGAGGATGACGCTGGGGCACGTCATTGCCTAGGGTAGAATGTGAGAGGAACACATTTGGGGTGCAGGAGATCTGCACTGTTTGAGGCAGGGTGCCCTGCCCTGGTGTCACCCAGAGGAGCATCCTGTGGGGACAATATTGGAGGAGGGAGATGGGGCAGAGAGAGCTCTGGAGCTCATCCACCTGGAGCTGCTGGTGGGGCTGGGATGGCCCAGAGATAATGTGCCGAGTGAGACAGCGGGGGCCTGGGGCAGAGGTCTGGGGGGCTGGCATTTGAGGGGTGGACAGAAGAAGCGGAGGCCGAGGGGGAGACCGAGAAGGAGAGTCGGAGACGTAAGAGGAAAACCAGGAGCGTCTGATGACACAAAAGACAGCAGATGAGGACATTTCTAGAAGGAAAGCGTCTCTTGGGCAAGTGGACATGAAGGAATGAAGGAATGGCAATAGCGTTTGGAAGTTCTAAGGATCCTGGTAATTTTTTAAAAATTAAAAGTGCATGAGATTGCTCAGGGAGACCGTGTAGAGCAGGGTTTCTCAATCTCGGTACTGACAACATTTTGGACCAGATAATTCTCTGTGGTGGGGGCTGCCCTGTGCATTGTGGGATGTTTAGCAGCATCCCAGGCCTCTACCTACTAGGTACACATAGCACCTGCCCCCCAGGTAGTAACAACCAAAAACACTTCCAGACACCGCCCGTTGTACCCTGGCGGACAACATGGCCCCGATGGAGAACCGCTAGTGTAGCCCTGGAGACACTGCTGTTGAAGGGAGAGAAAGAAGCTGCGAAAGACAAATCCAAGAGGCAGGACAGAAACAGGAGAAAGAGGTTTCGCAGGAACCAAGTGAAGAAAGCGTTTCAGAGAAGAACAAACTGGAAAGCAGAGGTTATAGTGGGACTGGATCAGTCAGTAGAGACCTGCCTCCAGGCTGCGTGCCCTCAGTGGGTCTGAATGGACCAGGAAGGAGGGTGGTCCCCCCAACCCCTTTCAGGGATGCACAGCCTCTCTGTGGGTGCCCCACAGGGGCTGAGCCAGCCCCATGAAGAGGCCGCGCCATGTTGAGGGAGCAGGTGGCAGGGAAGGCTCTGTCCCCAGCAGCCCCAGGGCAGCAGTCCACCACCACCCGCCTTGGCAGAGCCCCACGAGGGTCACAGCGGGGAGGGGCAGCGGCTGTCTGCTCTTCGTGTGTGGCCCAGTGACCCCGTTCTGACCGAGGACAAGCAGAGCCCCTGCCTGCCTCCTGGATGACCCAGAAAGCAAAGCCTTTCATCCTCCCAGGCAGATCCTCGTCGCCCCTCCCTGCCTCCAGGCTCACAGCTCCAGCCCAGCCCAGCCCCTTCCCTCCTCTTTTATTCTTCAGCCTCTGGTCTCTCAGACCTCCCCTTCTCTTACTTGTTTGTCCATCAGTGTTCCCCACACACCTGTTAGCTTAGAGGGGCTGGGCATCAGCACCCAGCCTTCCCCTTTTCCCTTTCCTCCTGCTCTCATTAGATGTGTTTTCTTTCCCGTTTGTCTCTCTTTTCCCGTCTCTTCCCCTCCCCCCATTCTTTTATCGCTTTTCTCTCCCCTCCCTATTCTCTCTGCCTCTCCCTCTTTCCTTCTCCCCCTCCCTTTTCTCTCTGTCTCCCTCCTTCTCTCTCCCTCTCCCTCTCTCCTCTGCTGTCCATCTGTCTTTCCACCCCTCCCCTCTCTGCCTCTTCCTTTCCCTCTGGCTTCCTGGATCTTTTTCTTGTGTATCTTCTTCCATCTTTCTGTGGGATCTCCCCTCTGTCTTCCTGGATTTTTGCCTGCCTCCATCTCTGGCTCACTCCGTTTCCCATTTCTCAGATAGTTACTGAGCGCTCTCCATGTTCTACATGCTGGGATACAGGCATTCACAGAACCACCCAAGAGCTGGTGTTTAGTTGGCCGACAGTCAGGTACCCACACAGGCTCACACCCGCCAAGGGCTGACTGAGGGCCAGGGGCAGCTTGAGTGCTTTCATACATGTGAACCCCTCTTTTCCGTCCACGGCCCTGGGAGGGAGATGCTATTGTCCACCCCACGTGCAGGGGGGGAGGCTGAGGCACAGAGGCAGGAGGGAGCTTATTGGAAGTTGCCCAGCTACTAGGTGGCTGTGCTCGGAGTTGCACACAGGCAATCTGACTCTGTAGCCTGGGTGTCCCCTTAACCACTCTTCCCTCAGCATCACCCAGATAAAATACTAGGAACTAGAGTATAGACATTCCCCTTTGACCTTCCCCAAATGAACTTTATCTCTGCAGGGGCAGGAAGAGTGTCTTCTAACCTTATATCCCCAGCGCCTTGCAGATGCCTGCTATATACTCAGCCAATATTGAGACCCTTTTTTTGTCATACCAGCGCCACAAGGCAGGTGTTACTGTCCCAGAGTGCAGACCGAGGCCCAGAGTGAGTTGTCTAGCATCACACAGCTTGTAGGTGGTCAAGAAGGATTTGGACTCAGTCCACATGTCTCTAGGGTGGTCTTCCCTCCGGAGAAGTCTAAGGAGCTCAGAACATTCCTCCTCTGCCTGGGAACCCCAGCTGGTTTGCAGCCAACTTGCCCTCCTGTGGGGAGGGACAGCCCACCTCTCCCCTCCCTGAGTTTCAGGGAGCCCACCCCTTAGTGGGGTGATGGTGCGGATGGGGGGTTGACGGAGGTGGGAGACTCACGGGGACTCTGGTGCCCATCTGCAGCAGCCACGGGCGAGGTAGAGCCGTGGCACAGGAACTGCATAGCCTTCACGAGCCCCTGGAGCCCCTGTTCCACCACCTGCGGCCTGGGGGTCTCCACTCGGATCTCCAACGTCAATGCCCGGTGCTGGCCTGAGCAAGAAAGCCGCCTCTGCAACCTGCGGCCGTGTGACGTGGACCTCCGACCCCACATCAAGGTGGGTCTCCCTCGAGGTGGGGCAGCCATCTGGGACTTAACAGACAAGCCTGGCTTGGAGCCTATCCTCACCTTCCTTGTGGAGGCCATTTGTAAAATAGGAATAATTAAGCCTGCTAGTCACAGTTATGGGATCATGTGTATCACGGGGCTGGTGTGTCATGAATCCACTCAGTGGAAGTGAGTGTGGTGACCGTCCTGTGAGAATCAAGGTCACACTGGGGAGAACCCAGCGACCCTCAGAAGTGCTGTCCTTTGATGATTCTCAGGGACCCTCCCTGACTGCCCTTCTCCTCCTGCTCTGGGCCAGCCCACACCCTCGAGCGCCAGCGTGACAGCCACGCTGGGCGAGAGGGGGCGCTGGATAGCTGGAGTCAAATGCCCGTCTGCTGCTGACGGCCGTGATGTGGCCAGTCTCGCATCTCTGAGCCCCAGTCCCCTCATTGGTAAAGTGTTGGAGTTGATCTCAGACGTCCATTCCAGCTTTGAGCGTCTGAGATAATTGATAAAGGATCAAGGAGGAAATGGGCCACAGTAGACTGACACCCGGTCCTCAGAGTTAGAAATGGATCTAATTTTCCTAACTCAAGGCCTCCTCATTTATGCCTTAGGACTGGTCATATGCGTTGGTGTCACACAAAATAAAAATAAAAATAAAAAACTCAGCCCTTGTTCCATTTTAGGAGCACCGGTGGTTTCTTGGGGAGGCTGAGGAGAGGGCTGTCCAGACAAGACAGCCCAGCTTTCCAGAGTCCTCCTTAGACATCAGACATTGCTCCTTGTCCTCTGTCCTCTACTCCAGTCCTCTCTGTGTCAGTCAACTAGATCCTTCTGCCTCCTCCTTCTCCTTCTCCTCTTCTCTCTTCTTCTCCCCTCTGATTATTTTCCCCTGCCATACTAGCCTTTGTGTTCTTGGTGCTTAGGGCATGGGAGGTACTCAGCAAACATCTCTTAACTGAAAGCATGAATGGAAAATTTACCAGCAGCAGGAAAATAGGAGCAAAGGTCCTAGGCTGGGTGAATTCACAGTGCATTCGAAGCAGAGTTGGGTTTACCACAAAGCTGACTCAAGTCCCTGCTGTTGGCTCATGATTCCCATCCAATTGTGTTTCCATATTACGTGCCCTAAGAGGGCTCCTCAGATTGTATGAGCTTCAGGCCCCACATAGCCTGGATCTGCTCCACCTGCAGTTCTGGCATGGTGCTGGTACATAGTAGACCTCAAGAACCGTGAGTCCAGTGGTTTTCGTAAGTGCCCACTATGTGCCAGGCACAGAATTAGACTAAGAGACACAGAAAGAGCCCCATTCTCAAGTGGGCCACAGCCCAATGGAGAGACAGAGCTGCCTTTAAATAATGCCAATCCAGTTGAATAAGTTGCATGATAAGGGTGTGTGTAAGAGGCTGTGGGAGGCAGAGGAGGAGGTTGGGGTAAAGTGCATCCCCCAGTCATGGAGTCCCATGATGGCTCTGCCACTTACTAACTGAAGGAGCTACAAAGGCATCCTGTGTTGGTGAAACTGTGACCAAGACTGGGCATTGGCAAGGCAGAAATGCAGGAAAGAAGGAAATTGCAGGCTGGAGGTAGTACCCAAGCAAGGCAGTTCCCTTCTGTGGTCCTCAGTTTACTCTTGCGTGATATGGCTGGGTCTCACTGTATTTGGGGAGAGCCCTCCTAGCTTGAAGATGCTGAAGATCTGAAAGTAAGTTGGAGTGCTTCCGCATAGTGAGTGAAAGAGAGGAAATGAGGGCTTGGAGGGAAGAAGATGGTTATTGATCCTCTGAGCATCCCAACTGAAACCTCCTTTCCCGCAGGAAGGGAAGAGGTGTTTGGCCGTCTACCAGACAGAGGTGCCCGAGAACTTCACCCTTGCCGGCTGCAGCAGCACACGCTCCTACCGGCCCAAGTACTGTGGGGTCTGCATGGACGACAGGTGCTGCGTCCCCTACAAGTCCAAGACCATCGACGTCTCCTTCCAGTGTCCCGATGGGCCTGACTTCTCCCGCCAGGTCCTATGGATTCATGCGTGCTTCTGCAACCTGAGCTGTAGCAATCCCAACGATATCTTTGCTGACTTGGAATCCTACCCTGACTTCCCAGAAATTGCTGATTAGGCAGGGACAAAACACGGGGCTTGGGGCCTGGCCCAATACGTGCAAAGCAGCCAGCCCTTTGAGGCCCGCAGTTGAGCCTTCTTTTGTCCCCTTGCCACTCATTTCTGATTACCCTGATCCAGACCCTTGGCCCCTTTCCTGTTTCTGACCGCCCAAATAACGCATTATGGCGCAGCTCAGGCCCAGACTGTGGGTCCCCTCCTTGGCAGCATTCTGCATACACATCAAAGAAAGTGCCTGTCTCCAGCTGTTCTGGACAATACCCAAGCCTGATCTAGCCTGTCCAATTCACTGGAAGTCCTGCTGCATCTTGCCTGAGTCCCAAGGCCCCGAATCAGCTAGACTTTCAGTATCACTAGTTCCCTCTCTAGATGCCAAACCACAAGACGCTTTGGGTCCATTCAGAAGGATAGATGGGATTTAGGACAATGGGACAGTCTATTGTTGGGGCCCTGCCAGGTGGCGCTCTAATAGGCAGTCTGACCGCAGTACATCAAAGCATCTCTGATTCCAAAGATTTGTGCATCCCAAGGTCACCAAACATTTGCCAAGTAGGCGAATGGTTGTTTGGTTTTGTTTTTTAATGGAAAATTGTATCCATTAATCGGGGCATTGTTGGTGTTAAGTTTCTCTTCACCTCTGCACTGTGGAAAGTACAAATTGAGTTCATCCCAGTCAGAGATGCAATTTGATAAACTTTATTCTTGTTTCTGGGAAAACCAGGGTCAGAACAAGGCCAGCCAATTTTCGGAAGGAGCAATCGACCCCAGCAGCGAATCTGCTGCTGACAGACAGGGCATTCGGCGATTGGCCAGGCTCTTCCTTGCATCCAGATCCTCTCCCTGCTTGGGGGTTCTTGGGAGTTGATGGAGCCCCTGGGATGGCCTCTCTGCCCCCTGAAAGTGGTGTCCTGGGACATTCCTCTGCTCTCATGGAGCCTTGAGAGACCCAGCAGAAGTCCAGGCCAGACCTGCCTGAAATGATCCAGATAGGTCCAGGCTGGGTGTGGGTCAAACCAAGAAGTGGGTCCACTCTGCATCAGCCTGAGGTGACATGGGTCAATGAGCCCAGGACACATCTATTTCTGCCACAGTGACCCATTTCGCAGATTTTGGGTCTGCTGACCCAAACAAACCAGTTCTGGTGTGAAGACAGAAGTTTACCAGTTGTCTAGAAACAGAACTATATTTAACAGGGATTAAAAGCCAAAAGGGGTTGAAGCTATAAGGAAGAGAAGGTTGTTACTAACGGAAATGAGGCTATTATTTATTTTATTAGTAAAATATAAATATTTACTGTTATAATTCTTTTATTTAGTACCTTCTATGTGCCTGACAGTCTTCTCAGTGCTTTACATACGCTAGCTCATGGAAACTTCACGATCCTGTTGAAAGGTGCCAATTATTATTTCTATTCTTACAAACGTGAAGTGGAAGCTCAGAGAGGTCAAGAAATGACCAAAAGTCACCCAGCTGGTAAGTGGGGAGGCGGGATTCAAATCCAAGTTGGACTGACTTATAACCCATTATTTTTTCCTTACTGTTAGAGCTTCCAAACGTGTCAGAGCAGAAAAACGTGCTGGAATAAGTGACTTTTTCTTCTCTTTCTTCACTCTTATTACTGTCTCTCTAGCTCCTTTCCCAAGAGAAAAGAGTGTTTGACTTTCAGATAATTTAGGTGCCTGGGCATCCCAAAGAATATGGGATAGATAAAAATCCATGAATACCCTATAGATCATCCCCTCCTTCAAATCAGAACCAGCTCTTATCATGCATTTAAAAGATGATTTTGTTTACCCAATGCTGCATGTTGAGTGATGCAGTAATTCATGAGGGAATCCTGTGTGGTGTGCAGAGGGATTCCTAAAAAGAAGAAGAGGATTGGGAATGTGTCCCCCTTACTGTGACCTCTCGAATGCCTAGGCCAGTGCAAGGCATACAGTGGTGCTCCACATGTATTTGATGAATACAGGAAATTGTGTATGTGTTCCTACTTTTATTCAGAAGCTCTCTTCTTCCAAAGGTATGTGACAATCCAGTTTTTATCAGCCAAATTTTAAGTGCCATGGGAAAAGAGACGTTTAACATTTAAAGAAATGTATATTTTTTATTGGGGAAAAAAAGAATTTTTGTGTGAAAAGAATTTACCCCATGAATAATCTCTTCTATAAGTCTGTGTGGATCATGTTGGATTTTCTTAGAGTGACATCACCTGCCATCTCCACATTACAATGACCAGATGACAGCTAAGCCCATTTGAAATTCAGCAGAAACTCATGAGCTAGGTTCTAACTGAATTTGCATCCCAATTTGGGAAACCGAGCGTAGCTTCCAAGATCGTAGGAGGCCTGACTGGAGGAATTGGAGATTATCCTGGGAATGGGTGGAATGAGGTGGCCAGAATGCCCCCGTGAGTATGTGTTTTGAGAAATGGACCTGTCTTATGCAGGCCCCAGAGGGATAGTCTCAGCTCCATGTTTTGAAGTCGGGGAAGGCGATTTGGGCCCAATATAAGGAGGCTCTCCCCAGCACTCCACACTGCAATGGTGTGACCTGCTTTAATGAAAGTTAAGAATAATAATCACAATGAAAAAAACTCCCTTTATTGAGTGCTTACTTGGTGCCAAGTCCTATGCTAAGTTTTAAATTATCTTACTAATTATCACAGCAATTTTGAGGAAGCATCTCTTCCTCATTTTATAAAATGGAATGTCTGAGACTCAGAGGCTGAGAAATCAGCCAAACAAGTTGGAGCCCAAACCCCAGCTTATTCCACTCTGCCTTGCTCCTGGGGAAGCCTCTAGGCAGATCCTGAATAACCCCTCCTGGAGTGTCACGTTGGCAGGGGGATCAAACAGACCAGATAGATCGCCTCTCCCTCCCTTGTCACTCCGCTTTCTGGGATGAGAGAAAGGTGCACTAAAGATGAGTTAACCTTTGTTGAAGAAATTCACATTAGTGCTTAGAGTGAATTTCTCTGGCGTGCTTAGGTGTGGGAGAGGGAAGAGACCTGGATTCTCCAAACCACTAATTCTTGCTAAGCCTTCTCATAAGCATTTGATGGACACTCGCCAGGCCTTGTGCTGCGTGCTTTATGCCATATCTTATTTAATCCTCATAGCAAACCTTTGACGTATAGGATCATTATCACTCCCCCATTTTAGAGATGAGTCATTTGAGGCTTATAGAGGTTAAGTTATTTTCTCAATGTTTTACCAGCCAGTGAACTGCAGACCAGGATCTCAAACCAAGGTTAGTCTGACACCTGAGCCAGCTCTCCTGACATTAAACCCAGTTAGCCTGCCCCCCACATCAAAAGGTACAAGAGATGCTTTACTGACAAGAGATGCAATTTTTAACTTTGAAAGTGATTTGGAGAATGATCAAAGAAAGTAGCTTCAAAGGATATGATTGCCTGTAATCTCATTAACATTGTACTGTGTCTACACAGAGATTGTGGGGAAGTAATGTAGCCCGTGACTATCGCATTAAATTAGGTCACTGCTTTTTCAAGGACTTGTCTTGATCCAGAGTAGCTGCCATGATAATCCTGCACAGCTGGGAATCATGGATGATCAGAATGGTCAGCTGTGTCTCCTCACATATACATATGTGTGTGTGTGTATATCTGTATGTATATATCTATTTTCAAACTGTGACTTAATATTTAAGTATTTGTCCTGCCATTTTTGTAAGTTACTAAAAAACACATATGAAGAAATGTCTTGGAATTTCCCAATAGAGGAAAAATTGCACTTGGGCAATCTGTCATGTTTTATAACATTCCTCATTTTTCTCATAATTTGTGTAGCGTGGAACGTGTTTGCTCAATTTGGAGGGTTTTCATTGCTCAAATTCCCTTTTATAGCTTTTCTTCTTAAAGCAATAAATCCTCAGCAAAGTGATTTACTGGATTTGGTGGGTTTTCTTGTGTATTCAGTTATTGTGAGGACATTCAATAAATGTGCAGATGGTGGAAATTAGGTGTTAGATATTTTATATATGGTAATAAAAATAACTAAAAGTTTGGGGGCCAGCCTGGTGGCGTAGCGGTTAAGTTCGCATGCTCCGCTTTGGTGGCCCGGGGTTTGCAGGTTCAGATCCTGGGTGTGGACCTACGCACCTCTTGTCAAGCCATGCTGTGGCGGTGTCCCACATACAAAATAGAGGAAGATAGGCACAGATGTTAGCTCAGGGCCAACCTTCCTCAGGAAAAAGAGGAGGATTGGCAACGGAGGCTAGCTGAGGGCTAATCTTCCTCACCAAAAAAAATAAAACAACTCAAAGTTTGGAGTTGCACTTAAAAATATGAATTCTGCCCTTCAGAAAAGACCAGGGCTACAAATGTGTCCAGGCTAGAAGACACCTCATATAATATGAAAATTTTAGCATTGACTTATTCATTCACTCACTCACTCATTTATTCACTGCATTTGTATATCCCCAACTAGACTGCGGCAACCTTGAGGTTGAGAACTACGACTGTACCCTCTGAGCCTAGTGCAGTGCCTAGCATGTGTCAGAGATTGGGTAAGCAGGGGGGGGATGGATGGAGAGATGGATGGGTAGAGTATCTTTTGCCAGCTGCCTTAGGAAGCAAGGGAAGCACAATGAAGTGTAAGGGAGGTTGCACGATGCAGTGGAAACAGTTCTGACCTTGCGAGTCAAGTAGATCTTTATGTACTTTCTTCTTTACTGGAATTCCTCACTTAGCACATCTGAACCTCAGTTTCCTCAGCTGTGCAACACAGAAAATGAGAGTGACACTGCCTTGTAGTGGTGGCGATGTGATAATTAAAATGCATATTGCATGCAAAGTTTTAGAATAGCTTGGCACTTGGTAAGCACTTAAACATATCTATTGTTAGCTGCGTCTCAGTTTCCCCATGAACCGGGGATAATCAGCAGGGCCATAGAAAGAATTGGAGTCAGTGTCTGTGTGTGTATATTCCACTTATTTAGCCTTTATTTCAAAATAGCTAATATACAGAAAAAGAATCACCAGTATTCAGTGGAATGCTTTTTTCCTTTAATCATAGGCTGCTTGATCCCTTAACTTTTTTATTTTTATGTTTTCATTTTATGCTGTAATTTGATTAAACACCCAGCTTCTTTAAGGCAGCAAGGATGTCACACTTTTCTGTGTCTCCCAGAGCCAATGCAGTGCATGGCACATGCCCAGCTGTGTGGACAGACGTGCAGATGGCTGCATAAATGAAGGGAATGACACATTTGATAGCTTCCGGCCAAATTTCCCTCACCTACCACCCCCCAAAACACATGATGCTGTTATAATAAAGTCAAGGGGGGAATCGATTCCAATAAAAACATAACTGCCACGTGAATTGTTTCCAAGAACACTTCTATCCTGAAGCATATTTT